GCTGCAGGAGGAGGATGCGTGGACTGTGCTCTTCAAGCCATCAAAGGGTTGAAGTCAGAGTCGCCATTTCAGTTTCTCTCTTCACTGGGCACAAACAGCAGCGGGGTGAGTAGGGGCAGGAGGTAGAATTCACCTGGGCCAGAGGATCCCAGGAGTCAAGACCTTCAAGGCAGTGGAATAAGTGACAGAGGAACATTCTAGAAATGTCTTCTTTAAGATGTTTTCCAAGGAGAAGAGACTAATCATTTGCTTAAGGGTAGATTAAGGCCACTTCATTTAATAGCAGGGGCTGAGATTAAACGAGAATAGTAACAGCGACATCGGAACAGTGGCTGGCCATGCACAGGACGTTGGCAGCCCTAAGCCTTTGTTGCGTGAACTCGTAGGATCCTCACAGCAGCCCTATAGGCTTTACCCACAAGGAAAGGGAGGCATGAGGAGGTTGAGCAGGGAGCCCTGGGTCACGCGTCTGTGGTGGCTGGAGAAGGGGCCAGCGGAGTTCTGGGGGCACGGCTTGTCCGGGACGATCAGGGTCCCCTCTGGAAAGAGCAGGCCCTGCAGCCCTGACCCAGCCTGGGTCCTCTCCCTTCCCCTGCTGGGCTGCGGCCCCAGGAGAGTCCTGGGTGGCCACCTCACCCCCTGACTGCCTTCCCTGAGCCCTCGGAGGACGCGACGCAGGCTAACTGAATGCATAGCTTTATTAAATAAATGCTTTGTCACGACAAAAGACAAAGATCGCGGAGTAACATAAATTATAAGTTGAATAAATAGTATACAGCAATCTTCACTTTTTAATGAAACGTGAGATCTTCTGTTTGTTTTTTTTTTTATTTATTTCCTTAAGTACAAAATGCTAAACAGGAGCTGAGCTCTTCCGCATTCAGGTGATTTGTTTTTTTCTGCTTTTTTTTTTCTGTTTGTTTGTTGATTTATTTTTTAATCCTTTTCACCAGTAAAGATTATGAGCATTTACTTTATTTATTTTTTAAGTTGAAAACAAAAAAAGAGGAGAGAATAGGGCTACGGTATGTACGTAAAACTATAAAGAACTACAGTAATATGTGCTGTGGTTATTGCTGTTTTCAATAAAAGAAAAAAGAAAAAAACCAAAACCAAACAACCAGTAGGTAACTCGGAATCTGAAGGAATCTTGTCTGACAACTGTGCTAACCGTGTGTGCTACTGTGTGGTGGTGCAGATGGGGACCAGGCTGGTGACGGGGACCAGAGAAGCGGGGTGTGTGGGCAGGGTGGCCGGGGACCCCCCCACCTACACTTTCCCCAACCAGAAGGAGTTGAGGAGAGGAGGCCAGAGTCTGTGAAACGACTAAACTAGATACTCCTTTAGAAAACCAAGGAAGTACGTTTACAAAAAAGAAAACAAAAGCCTAAAAGAAAAAAAAAAGTGGAGAAACAGCGCAAAATAATTCTTGCACTTTAGTGGTTTTAAAAATACAGACAGTACAAGGCCCAGGGTGCCGGCCGGTCAAACCCCCATCCGTTCCCTTGTCCCACCACGCTGCAAAACGGAGCCTCCTCTCTCTGGAAGCCAAACGTTTCCTGTCCGAGACTAGAGGGTTTCTTCTCCTTGACCCTCTCCTCTCCGAAGGTCCCATCCGGAACCGGGGCTCAGTGGATGTTGGGGGGCGAGGCCCCACCTTGTGCGGGGCGTGGTGGTGGTTAGGGCAGCCTTGTTGCCAACAGTGGGGAGGTGGGGGCGAGGGGCGGGGGTCCAGCTCTCCAGTGGAGGCTGGCCCTGTTGGGGGACCCCAGAGGTGGGGGCCCCCGGGCCTCTGGTGCCCGCCTTCCTCCCATATGGAGCTGGTTGTCACCAGGCCTGGCTGTCTGGGCCTGGCCGTCAGAAAAACTGTCCAGTCTCTTCCTTCCCAGTGCCCGGCTCTGCCTGGTGGGTCAGGGCAGGCTGGGGAAGGAGGGTCAGTCCTGGCTAGGCCTTCCTCAGTCACCCGGTGGTCACAGGGAAGACAAGGGTACCTTCTCCACTGCTGGAGGGAGGCAGCAGTCAAAAGCGGGTGGGAAGAGACCTTCTACAGGCGTGGGGTGGGCAGTCCTTAGGCCCGGAGCCAGACAGCCCGGGATCCAAGGCCTCCAGGGCAGCAGATAGTTGGCCAAAGGCTGGCCTGGAGTCAAGGAGGTCCCCACTCGGGCCCTGACATGCTCACGCCATTCCAAACGGCCTTCCCTCACCCTGCCAGGGGAGGAGCTTCCGTCTCCCTTCCCAACTCCTTCCCTGGGCTCAGCCAGACCTTCCATTTGGGAGGCTCAGTCTCATCTGTGCATGAAAGTCCAGCTTCTCTAGGGAGTGACCAGCTGCCCAGAGGCACCCCCCGGAAGCAGTGGAGACGCGCAGGTCTGGGTCAGTAGGCACGGACATCTGGCGGAGCTCACCCAGGCCGCGATCCCCCCACCTCACGGCTGACAGCAAAGAGCCCAGGTGGGGGTAGAGGCCTGTTCAAAGTCCAGCACACTCTGGGGGAGAGTCCCTCCCAGGAGTCAGGGCCAGCCCTGGGGCAGGGTGGGGAGGGTTGCAGTTCCTGGCTCAGTCTTTTCTTAGGGGGAGTGGTACCCCAGTATCCACTTGGCAGTCCCAGTAAGATAACTGCTCAAGATCCAGAGACAGAATGGGCAGAAGGGAGAGTTATGGGAAAAAGATTTAGGGTACTGGCCTAAGACATACAGAAATGTGAGTCAGGGTTTGGGGACAGCTGTGTAGAGAGATGGGGCGCTCTGACTCAGCAGGTCCAGAAAGTCCTCATGGCTGCCGGCCCATCGGGCCCTTTGTCTCCTGGAGACTGAGCACCTCTCCTGGCTCCAGCCAGCTGTCTTGTCCAGGGAGTAAGAGACAGCCTGTAGGTCCGCAGTGACGGGTTTGCCATTAGTTGGAATATATTTGCTTCTTTGCTGTCCCTCTTCTTGCTGTATTTGCTTCTTGGTTGCCCCAGGTTCGGTGCTGGAGGCAGTCTCCACTGTCATGCCATCAGGGCAAAGTGGAGAGAGCTTTGTCCACAGCAAGAAAGGGGCTCCTTTGCCAGTGTCCGAGCCCCCTTCCCTAGCAGGGTTTCTTCAGCCTTAGAGGACAGTTCAAGGCCACCCATTGGTTGAGGACGTCAGCGGAGAATGGAACTTTTCTTGGTTCAGAATCTGGCTGCCCACCGATGGCACCCCTGAAGCACGCATTCCCTGGGTGTCCTGGGCCTCTTCTCTGTCCACCACCCCTGGGAGGGGGCAGGGGCTGCCAGCACAGGGGACGAGCCTGAAAGACTCTTGGCCTCCGTCCCTCATTGTGGCTGAAGGTGGGCATCGAGCACAGGTCTCGGCCCTTCAAAAGCACAGCCAGTCTCTACCAATCCTTGTTCCTGTCCAGCTTCTAGCATCTGGGCCCCACCTGCAGCTGCCCACCTTCCCCGATCTGTGTCCTGGCGTAAGCTCATTTCTATCTTACAACCCATCCCCCCATTTCCCTCTCTCCTTCTTCTAGAACCCCAGAAGGCATATAGGGTGGGGAAGCCAAGGAAGCTTCTACTGGTGTTTCCCGCTTTCTGCAGCTTTGCTCCGAAGCTAGAACGGGGCAGTTAGCCCCCGTCCGTCTGCCTACTCTGGCCCGAGCAGTCAAGTTTACGGTTTCCCTGCATGTGAGACGTTTCTCCACTCTCTCCCTCTCTGCCCTCTCTCGTTTCAGTCTCTCTCCTGCTCTGCCAGCGTGGAGACCGAGGGAGGCTTCCAAAACGCAGGTCCTGTCCCGATGACATGAAAGGCCTGGGACAGGACCAGGGGGTCACACTTGGACCTGTTGGGCTCATCTGGTGCGGTGTCCAGAGACAGCTACTTCCTGAGGGTTTAAAGACTGCAGGGGGATGTATGTATGAGCGTGGTGTGCGCACCGTCGAGCGCTGGCCTCACCCGGCTGGGTGGGTACATGTGAACACTTGCGTGGAGTCATCATCCAATCCCACACTGGGCCCCCGAAGAACGGAGTTTGCTGCTCATGGGCAGCCCTGACTAGGGGCAGGCAAAACTGGCATTATGGGTTGTATTGGGAGAACGTGGGTTTCCTTGGTTTCCCCAGAATGAGGAAGCTCCTCAATGCCCCACAGAGCTACTCTGAAAAGTTAACGCAAACCTCTGGAAGAAAGGTAGAAAGAAAGAAAAAACAAAGAAATAAAATAGATTTATATGCCTATATATGACGATACGCAGCCTTGTGGATAAATACAAGCCCACGTTTTTTTCAGCCTATCCTCCCCCACAGAGGCTGCTGTGCTAGTTGCGAATTGAAGGAAATGAGGGCTGGAACCACAGCTTCAGCAGGTTTTTTTTTAAGTCACCCCGGAAGGACAAATCTTTCCAATCCTGGGGTGCGTAGGGATTTCTGGAAGTCTGCATGGGGAGTCAGAATGCACACATACTTGACATTCACGTCTCCGCTTGGGAAACCTCGCTATCGAATGTCACTCAGTTACGAATTTGTTTTGTTTTTGGAGGAATGGAATGCATTTTAGTTTGCATGAATTTGGGGGAGAGACAACATTCTGTTGGGGTAAGGCCAGGGGTCGAGCTGTCCACACTGCTGGCTGGAGAAGGAGACAGATCTGGGAGAGGCCCTGGCACACCTGTCTTTTCCTTTCTCTCCCTGACCAATCCAAACTGGGAAAACTCCAAGGGTGTCACCAAATGCCACATCTTGGGCTACACTTTCTGGTGCTCAAACTTCTCCCAACTCCAGGCCAGGGCTAGACCCCGGCGCCTTTCCGTCCTGTCACCTGCTTGCCTTCCTTTTCGTAACTCTGCTCATCTGTCCCTCTGTTCCACACAGACGCTTTCTTCCCTTCTCTGCCTCTTGTTCTTCCTCTCCTCCTTCTCTGTTCATTCAACTTGCCTCAAAAAGAAAACCATTTTAAAGGGGGGTCTCCTTAGCTTTTTGCATCATCTCTGTTGTTGCCATTTTCAAAGTTGAGCCCTTGCTAGAGATTCCGAGGTCCTCAGTTTCCTCAAATAGATATAGATATATATATTTTTTCCCTTAAATGAGATGAAATGAGTGGCGTCCTGGGGTGGAGGGAGTCGCTGGCTGGAGTCGGGGCTGGGGGTGGGTGGGGGTGGGGGATGGGGAGGGGACGCATCACTCAACATTGCTGCTGTCGAAGGTGTGGCACTGAAAGTCCCCGTCCACGTACTCCATGCCTGGCAGCTTCATCCCGTACTTGTCCACGCACCAGCAGATGCCACGCTTGCGGCCGCGGGAAGGCTTGCACTAGGGTGGGCAGAGCAACAGGAGATGAGGACGGCCGCTCGCTGAGCCTCTGCTCCTCCCCTCCCGGCCTCCTCCCCACCCAAGACGGACTCTCATCCCCAGCGAGCTGAGGGGCTAGACCCAGCCCTGGAAGTTCTGATGTCCCCATTTCATGGAGGGCCAGGGGAAAATGTGAATTTAGGCAGGCTGCCCTTGGCTAGCTCCTATAATCTCTTTTTTTATTTTTTGAGACAGGGTCTCACTCTGCCACCCAGGCTGGAGTGTGGTGGCACAATCACAACTCCCTGCAGCCTTGAACTCCTGGGCTCAGCGATCCTTCTGCCTCAGCCTCCCAAGTAGCTGGGACTGCAGGCGTGAGCCATCGCACCTGGCCATGATCTCTTTTTTATGTTATCCACTCGAGTTCCTCCAACTCGGTTCTCTCCAGGGATTCTCGACGTTGGAAACTGATCCGATAATGATAACAGTAACGGTAATGATAGTATTAGGAGGCATCACTGTGCAGCTTTATCAGACACTACTCAACATTTAATGTAGAGCAAGGATGTTCTAAGTGCGCTACACAGTTCCTCGTCCTCCGTGAAGCAGGTACTGGGATTCTCTGGAGACAGAGACATTAGATGACTGGGGAAACAGGACAGGCCAGCAAGTGGCAGAGCCAAGACTGACCCCAAGGCAGTCTGGCCCTTACATTTAGATTAGTGGTGCCCCTAAGATGGCATCAGGGTCACCTGGGAACTTGTTAGAGACGCAAAGTCCTCGGAGCCCACTCTAGACCTACCAATGGAAAGTGGTGGGGCCCAGCCACCAGCTGCTTTAACCAGCCCTCCAGGCGACGTTTGAGAGCCATTGCCCACGGGAGAGCCTGGCTGTGAAGGGGCACGACGGTTTCAGGTGGTACAGAATGAAAATAGGTTTTAACGTCGTGCGTGTGCATCAGAGAAGCGTTTGAGGAGCACAAACAACCTGTGATGTGATACAGTGTTACAAATGAATTCATGTAGATAAGGTGAATCCCTGAAAGGTTAGGTAGATGATAGCACAGGAGGGAATGGGGAACATCATGACGGTGGTATGCGAATGGCTATCTGAGGTACAGGAAACACTAAATTGCTAATGTAAACACTAAATTGTTAATGGCAGGCATCTTAGGTGCTTGCCCCAAGTGGAGTTTCTGGGCAGGTGCCATTTTGGAGACACCTGAACCTGGGAGCGCGGGGCAGGGCTGTACCTGCTTTCTCTTGTAGAATCCCTTGCGGTCACAGTTGGGCAGGTACACGGCACGGGGCACCATGCGTGGGCTGGCTTTGAGCTCCTGCAGGGAAGCCTCCATGTGTCTGCGGCAGGGGCCCTGTGTGGACAGGAGGGTGAGGGGAGCGGCAGGACCAAGTGGAAACACCCAGGTGTGCAGACGGTGCCCGGGGGTGGGGGCCGAAGGGTCTCCGGAGGAAAATCGCCACCTTTGGTTCTACTCAGCTGCTACCAAGGCTCTTCCCTCCCTCTCACCTGTCACGTGCCCCGGGAGTGTACAAAGCCTGCATTTGGCCAGGTATAGAGCTGTATTTTCCCTTTTGTCTCCCAAGCCACCCACCCTCAACTTTTCTATTCTGCCGAGTAATGAAGTCCAGAGGTGCCGTATCCGGATGCTTTAAGCTCAGCCTCTGCGCTGGACACAGCTCCGGGGCTCACGTGCCTGGTGTGTGCCTTTCCTGGAGTGAGCACTACCTCTATTTCCACTCACATGGACAAGCCCTCTGTCCTGACAAATGTAAGCTCTGAGAACTCTCCTAACCTGAGGCACCGTGGCCGGTGGTGGGTCCTTTGCCAGGTCTAGCCTAAGTAGACCTCCTGCTGCCCCGAATGCCCATTTAGATGCAGGGGAAAAGCCCAAAAGCCAGGCGGTGGCAGAGGGAGCGAGATGGGGAGTGAATCCACAAGACACACCTGCTCAGACTCCTGTCTCATCTCAGGCGCAGAGATGACCCGGGGGTGGGCGGTGTTCTCGGCTCCCCCCACAAACTTGGACTGGGTCAGCTTCTTTCTGCGGTCCTTCTTCACTGCCTCGGCCTTCAGCTCCGAGATGCGGGTGTGCTTGGGCCGGAAGATCTTGGGCGAGTAGGTCTCCTCGGCCATCTCGGAGGTGGTGGGCTCCTCGTGCTCCCGCGAGTCTCTCTCTGCGGGGAGAGGGGCCGAGGGTCAGCTGCCCAAGCCCAGGGCCTGGGCTGGGAGGTCGGGGAGAGGGAAGTAACACAGGGTGAGGCAGATGGGGCCTCTGCCCTCCTGGAGCTCTCCAGACTGGGGAAAGCAGGGACATGAGAACCAGGAAGAACAGTTGACGCTCATGTAAGTGGAGGGAAGTTTCTGGAATGCCTGGAGTCAAGCAGAATGAGTGTAGGGAGGAAGAGTAGGAGAATCTTGGAAGATTGGTGGATGGGGGAGGTGTGGCAGGAGGGAGAGGACGGCCTGGGGCAGGCAGCAGGAGGGGCAAGGGCAGTGGCCCGGCAAAGGGGGAAGGAGGTGGTGAGCGGTTTGCTTGCTGGGGGCGGCTGGAGGTGGGGCCTGGAGACCTGGGCTGCTGGAGGAAGACGGGGCACAGCCAGTGCACGGGTCCTCTACTTTCAGAATTGCTGGGCCTTGAGGTTATTTGGACCTGGGGAACTGCTAGTGGGGGGTCCTGGGTTCTGGAGCAGCAGGGGGGTGGGGCCATCGTGAAGCGCAGGAGGAGAGGACCTGGGAGACGGGAGAGCCAGCAATGTGGGCCCAGTGGGGAAGAGGGGACGCCCTTGCTCAGACCTGGCGCTGAGCTCGGGCCCTGGGAGGCTGGCACGTTGCTCAGCTTCAGCCTGAGAGAGGCCAACGGCTGGCTGGGCCAGGCGGTTATATATAGGAGTGACTTGGCGACAGTCTATACTTAGCTGACTGTTGACCTTTAGAGAAGCTGTACTTTGTTCATGTATTTGTCGGCCCTCAATTCCACCTGCCTGACCTCTTCCTGGTCCACAGATTTCCAGTAAATTCCCGTCCCACAGACACCCTCCTCTGGGTCCCTTTCTCTTCTCAGCTCCTCGACTACCCCCCAGTTTCAGCAGACCCAGAGTTTGGGAGACCTTAGCTGCTCCCCGGTGGGCAGGGTGTGGCCGGGTGCCCCGAGGTGGGGCCAGGTGCAGGGGTGTGCAGGGTCTGGGGCCCTCCCTTCACTGCCTCCCTTCCCAAATCCTCGAAAAAGAAAGTGGGGCTTTGGGTGATCCTAAACACCTAAAATGGGGTGAAGGAAAACCCTATTCTCCATCCCTCCACTATTCCTGGGAAGGGTGACAGCCAGGCACTAGAGATGGGAAGTTGAGGAAGGGGAAGAATTCAAGGAAGTGGCAGGAGGTGCAGGGAAGGAGAAGCTTTTTGAGAAGACTCCGTTTCATGCCCCTGGGGATGCCAGGTGAGAGCTGGGGAGGCTTTTGCAGATCCGGCCCAACCTGGTCAGGGTTGGGTGGCAGGGAGCACCCCAGCACCGGCTTTTCTCCTGGCTTGGGATTTGTCAAGTTCAATGAACTAGTTCTCTGGTCTTTAAGGCCTTGGGAGGGAAGTTCCCTGCCCTGAAGAAGCCTCCAAGTGTTTGCGGAGTTCCTGGGGGTCAGTGGCTGTGGGTATCGATTCACAGGGCGGGAAGGGGAGTATCGCTGGAGGGGAAAGGGTGAGGAGGAGGCAGGCAGCAAAGCGGTGCACAGGCTGTGCCCGAACACAGTTGGGCATCAGGATCCCGGTGCCCCTTCTGGGCTTTAAAGCCCTCTTCCCAGCCGGTCGTGATGTCCCTGTGCCCTGACCCTGCTCTGTCAAACCCTGACGTGCCCGGCAGGTGGGTTAGTTAAAAGAGCGATGTTTTTGGGTAAACCAACTTTTCTTGGTTGTGGGACAAGTTAGACCGGCGGGCGGGGGTGGGAGGGAGGTGCGGGGGGAGCTCGGCTGGTTTGGGGACTCGGTGCGTTGGAAGGCACTGAGTAACACAGGCCCCAACCTGAGGCTCAGGTCCTGGCGGGGGAGAGTGAGGACAAGGAGCACTAACCATGGCACCTGCATCTTTTCTGGGGGGCTTGAGACACTCCACCCAACCTCTCCAGGCCTCGCCAGGCATTCTGATCCTCAGAAGGCAGCTGACTGGGCCAGGGGAGAGGGAAGGAGATGGTTGCCACTGACAGCCTGGAGGCCTTCCGGGGTGTGTGGCCCAACTCCTTCCTCAAACAGGATTGTAACCTGAGAGAGTGAGGGCAGGGCGGGGAGCAGGCTGGCTGCTGACCAAGGTGTGGAAGAAAGATGACTGTCTCCTCCCGTGGGCTGCTCCAGCCCAGCCTTGGCCTCGGGAGCCACAGATTGTCACCTCTTCAAAGGGAGAGAGCCCAGGAAGCTGCCTCAGCCCCACTGGCTGTCCTAGCTCCTGGAATCCTTTCCAAACGCCATTTAGTCTATCCCCCTGTGTCCAAGCAGAAACAAGCACATGCCCCTATCTCATTGGTGCTCTTTCTAGTTCTTAAAGACATCTGGGATGGGGGTGCCACCCCATCCTCCTCTGGCCTTATGTTTTTTTTTGTGGGGGTGCGCGCTGTCCCTTTGGTCAGAGGATGCCATTCTCCAGCTGTTATTCCAGCCGGTTCTCACTCTTTGGTCTTGGTACCACGGAAGCAGGGTGCCCACAGCCTGCCCTACACCAGCAGCTCTTCTCAGGACACTCAGATTTTGGGAAGAAGTGCTGGGGCCATCCTTAACCTTGAGTCACCCTTCCTGGGAGGAGGATGGAGTGTTGACAGTAGCCCAATCAACCTTGGGGCAAATTTATTTTGGTTTCTCTTACTCTTTTCTTTGAAAGTGTTGAGGTATTATCCTGGGGCCAAACAATGATACTGGAAAAAAAAAAATGTAAATTCTGGTATCTTTCTTAATTTAAGGAACTCAAAACACTTTTGTAAACCCTCTCTCCTTTGCTGGCCTCATGCAGGCGGCCTCCTGAGGGCAGACCGCCCAGGCTGCAGGCTCTTTGGCTGCTTCTGAAGGGCAGGTTCAAAGTCTCCATGTGCCTCCTGGGTGTTGGTGCCACTTAACCCCGTGAGACCTATTAGGCAGCGGGAGGGTCCAGTATCCAAGATAGTAATCAGGGTCTTGTGGTCACCTGCAGGCTCCAGACAGTGGAAACTTGGAGGGGAACCACCACAGAGCCACGGAGATTAAAGTGCTGGAAAGTAAGCCCAGGGGCGGGATGCCAGGGCCAGCGAGCCCCACTCAGCTGCTCTGTGGCCGAATCCTTAATGGGCTTTTCGGTTTGGCAGAGTTTAAATTTTAGATGAAACGAGAAGGCACAAGCACACTGGCTACTCCTGAGCTATTTCTTCAGGAGAAGATGAACTCAGGTTGCAGAAGGGATTTAGGTGGGGTACAGGGGAGGACTTCCTGGTGAAGATGGCTCTGCGGGCGCACAAGGCGAAGGAACCTGACAAGTGGGCCCTGGAACCTGACAGACAGGTCAGTACCTCCAGCTGGCCAGTAGATGGCGTGGGAGACTGATGCCCACACATCATTTTAAAGTCTGGCATTTGTGTGTGTCCCTCTCCAACTTCTCTGATAATCACCCAAATCCTTTCCTTCTCTTCGTGCATCTGCCACATGCATTTAGAGTGAGGAGATGGACAAGCGAGACCTAGAAAGACCCCCGGGGTGAGAGAGTGGAGGGCAGGCAAAGGAGCTGGAGGGGCCGGGAATGAGGCTTGTTTGCGCAGGACATGGGGCTGTTTCTGTAATCTGCAACCAGAGAAGGGTTCAGGAAGGAAGCAAAACACATCCCAGACCTCTCTGTCTATCTCTAGAGGCCATTCTCAGAGGAGTCTGCAGAGGATGGGAAATGTGGAATGCTTAGTACCTTTTTCTGGCCCTGGAAGCTACAGAGGCAGGGCATTTAATTTCATGATATTATCCAACAACAAAAAGGGCACTATCATATTATTCTGATACAGTATTTACCTTTGGGATGGAAACTGAGCCTGCTCTGGCTTCTACACCCCCTTCTCCCCCCAGCCCTCCCAAACAGCTCTCTAATGCCTCTAGCCCCTCCTTCATTCATAAGCTGTTCCCCATTCACACAGGAGGAGCAGCGTCCACAGAGGCATGTACGGGTACACTGGCCTTTCTCCACGGCAACACGAACACATGCCTGAGGACTGCGCCATCCTCCATGTCCCAGCAAACACAGAGGGTGTCTGGGTGCAGACCCAGCTGCTGTGAACCCAGCGGCATCCTAGGTGGGCTGTAGTACCCACAGCACACTTGCACAATGCATGACCCCGCCCAAGCTCAGCCACTGTCTCCAAACCCGCCCTCTTGTGGCTGCTGTGCTCCTGCAAGGGGAACATTTTTGGCCAGCAGAGGCGGCACGTGCTCTTAAGAAGCGTTCTGACTCTGCCTTGCTTCCCAGTCAGAGCAATGGATAGGTCCAGGTGGGGACCTGCTGCTGCCTGAAATCCAACCTCCCACCCTGGGGCTCTTAGTCACGCCCTGGCACCATTAACAGCCTGCTCCCGGGCTGGTGTTAGTTTCTCACTCTATCTTTTTGGACCTCATAATCAACCATAAAGGAAAACTGTGTGGCCCAGATATTGTGACTTGGCTTACAGAAACTGGAGAAACTGAGGCATACTTGAAATTCACAACCCAGGAAGAGTGTAGGGTTTTGACAGGCCACGTGGACCTGGGGAGATTCTCCAGTCTCTTTTTCTAGCCAGAAGCTGAAACGGGGATGTCCAGAATCTCTCTACAAGGAATGAAAAAAAGAGTTGGGTTTCCTATGGCTCTCATGCTAGCTCCCTCTGGGAATTGAACACTAAACTTCCTAAGGGCAGAGCTTTGCCATTTATCTTCATCTCTCCGGCAAATGGTATTCAATAAATAATCTTTAAGTGGAGAGATGTGTAAATCTGCCCAAGACGCAAAGAGAAATGGGTCCAGAAGTATTTCTGTAGTATAAGCTGGGGCAAGTTAGAACCCAGTGGATGCCTCGGGAGGTTGTCCCATCCATGCCCCTGCCTCAAAGCATGATGACACTGCCGCAGAAGGGCACGGGAGCCAGACAGATGGACATCACGGCAGTAGGAAGCCCTGGATATGCTGGGCATCTCTTTGACCTAAGGCTGTGTGCTGT